CAACAGAGCCAGAAAGAGGAACGTCCATGCAGGACAAAGCAGCCTGGGACAGCTGGGATGCACTTTGTGCTGGCTCCCCTGGTTCAAGCTGAGCTACAACTGGAGGGGAAGCATGCTGAGCTGCTGTCATTGTGCTGGCCTGGAGGACAGAAGCAGGAGGCAGCCACCAGGCGGAGCAGGAATTGCTTTACCTTTAACAGCAATACCGCATCAAGCATCACCACGTCTTGAGAGTCACCAAGAGGGCAGAAAAATGCATCCCTTGCACGTGGGTACCACTGACAATTAAGCAGCCTGATTTATTGGGGCAGGTGCTTTGGGGAACAGCCTTGATCCTTCAGGTCTGAAGTGCCTGATCCTGGCTCTAGCACCAGGATAACGGGCTGGGTGAATTCGTTCTGCGCCGCTAGCGCAAACCCTCCACTCCAAGCCACACGGAGAGCAAAGCCTCCCAGAGAGCATCCGCGCACGGCACGGAGAACCGCACAATGGGAAAGCAGTGGAGCACAGAGGGCTCTTCCCTTCGGTTCTTTTGTGGGAGCAAAAGAGAAGGCAAGGAAACCCTCCAAAAGGCAATTGATGAAGAGAGGAAAGGAAATGCCATTACAAAACTGGAAACCTCATCTTCTTGTTGGTGCCTCTTTGGCCTGAGCAAAACCCGAGACGAGGCACTGTTACATGGAGCTGCTCAGTGATGAGGAACACTCTCTCCTCCTGCCTTCCTCCGGGACTGCTCATCACTGACAGGATGGACAGACAAACAGACAGAGCATGCACTGGGGCAGGAGAGGACGAGGGAGAGAAATCTTAATAATCAGCTCAAAATTGATTCACTTGTGCTCCATCTGATTTCCCCTAACTGGATCCACATGTCCTGGCCATGGCACATTAACTTCAATTATGGCTTATTAACGTCTCTGTGATGGAGCGTGCCCTGCTGAGCACTGCAGTGACTGACGTTATGAAGGGGAAAAAATTACTCCAAAGAGACACAGCGTGTGATGGAAAGTGAACTGGGGGCTCTCATCGCACTGGCCGTCAGTCCTGGCAGCCAGGAAAAGCTCATTCACCCGTTCCTGAGAAGATGACCGAGCTCACTGCTGCGCCGAGGAGAAAACTAAGCAGTGAATAGAGATCTGTGGGGAAAAGTCTTTCCGCTTGCCTTCCCCACCCTGCCTGGCACACACACAAGCACACAGGCCAAGGGCTTGCTCGTGTCTATTCCTGTCTTGACTCCTCTGCATCTCCAGTTACTCCGCAAATCAATAGGGACAGGATGGAAGCAGAAAAAAAAAGAGAAAAAAAGATATTAAGAAGAAAAAAGAGAGTAAAAATAAACTGTCAGCCATGAACGGAGAAATGGACCTGGCTGAGGTTGTGGGAGGAGGAGATAGATGCAGGCAGAGGGCACAGGAGGCCCTGAAGCACCATTGCGCCAATACCCAGGAAGTGGGCAGTGACCGTCAGGATTCACCAGACCCTCTGGAGATGCTGGCAAACTGGCCTACAGGAGGAGAGAAGGCAGCAAACTTCCCCTTCTGCACATGTCCTTTACTCCATCTCTTTCTCCTCTGTCCAAAAGCTCTGGGAGACCGTGGTGAGGGATTGTCCTTGACAGGAAGCAGAGGGGTGAGGATGGGTTGCACCTGGATGAAGGCCCAGGAGCACATGGGCCGAGGGGATCCGAGAAGCCTCTCTGAACCCACCAGCTGTGGCATGAGAAACCACCCAGGCTCGCGCTCTGCTCTGAGGGTAAAGCGTTTTGCTCTTCCCTTGACCGTGAACATCAACTGGAAATGAGCTGCCATGTGTCTCATCGCCCTGCGGGCACTGCCAGCTGCCTGGAAAATCCTGGTGCTGCTGTACAGGGGCACAGGTGATGCCACACACCACGGTGGGACACTGCTCCTCCATCCTCCCGGAGCTGCTCGCATCTCCAAGTCACCAGCTCCTCTGCTCTCCTGGTGGGATTTTTCTGGCTGCATTTTGCCTTTGAGCCTTTATTTCTTCACAACCATCTTCCCTCTCATTTCCATGATCCCTACAGCGACTCCCAAACACACCCCTCACCCCCCCATTTTATCTAGGCACTTTCCTCCTGTTCCTCAAACATGGTCATTCCCACATCCTGGAAGAGGCACCATCCATCCCCAGCCCTGCCTGCCCTGCCTCCCCCCTTCCCTGCACAGCACTCCTGGCAGGCTCACATTGATTTCTCCTCTCTTCTTCTCAATAACCCACCCCTTGTTGAGCTACACACAAGATTTAATTTGGTTTTAGTCCCTGCACTGTAACTGGCTTTGCTTACAGCTGGAATTAGATTGCTTTCCAGCGAAAAAAATGCTTGCTGGGACCTGAATAATCACAGGAGCAGAGTTAATTCACATGAAGCTTCTCCACCTTATACACCACTTATCCACAGCTCCTCAGCCGGTTGTCCTGCCCTGCCCTGCAACCATTGAGCTGGAAGAGTCAGCCCAGGACAGGCATCAGCTTCTTCCCCATCCAGGATGAGTGTCCACTTCTCCTGAGGACCAGCCCAGCAAGCGAGGCAGCTGGGGAGCACTGGAGCAAAGCAAAGCTGAGTCCTGCTTAAGCTCAGGACTTGGAGTTCGAGCCGGAAAATGCAGATTTCAGAGTTTTCTTTGCCCTCAGCCAAGGAGAAGCCCTCTCCTCCCTGCTGCATCGGAGGAGTCGCTGTCAGGCAGCTCGTGGTGAGCAGAGCCAAGAGGGAAGCAGAGGCGAGCAGGAGCCGCTGCTCTGCAGCAGCCGCGGGCAGCCATCCACGTGGGCATCCGTCCACGCGGGCAGCGCACCAGCTCCGGGGGCAGACCGCCCGGGATTAGCCAACAAACCCCAACCTGTCTCGTTCTGGCCCCAGCAGAAAAGCAGCATTGCAGCTTCACCGGGCGTTCACAGCCTGATCCTCCCCCGCCGGTGCTGTCCTCAGAGTGCAGGTGGCTGTGGACTCCAGGATGTCTCATAGGGGTTGTGCTCTCCCCTCCCTGGGGTGTTTGAAAAGGTTTTCCTCCCCTGCCCTAGTTGCCTCTTTCAGCAAAGTTTGTAGGGATTTTTATCCCTTGAAACAATCTCTGCTACTACTAAAAGGTATTAAACATGGCCAGTGAGTTCAAAAGCTGGTGGAGAACTGGGTGCAGGGCAGGAAGACAGCTGACAGCAAGGTGCTGGTTTGTGGAGAATCCCACAAGCACAGTCAGAGGTCAAAAGTTCTGAAGTGATGTATCCCGGCCAAGGCAGGCAGAAAAGGTAACGTGCTCCATGGAGGAA